CGCGTCGGCCGGAGGCCTCCGGCGGCGGAGGAGAACTGTGGGACCATTTCCAGCGGAGGTTGTCCATACTGGGACGGGGACCCCCCTTGCTGCTTCATGCGGCCGGTAGTTACAGCCACAGCAGTAGTGCTTCCTTCCGCAGTTAGTGGAAGATGGGGGAAATACTGAAGGTTAAAATCATGGAAGCTAGGACAAGTAGAAAGAGAGAGAAACAGAGAGATAGAAGTGGAAAGGTGGTGGCTTTACAGCAAGCGCCGGCCATACAGAAGAATATTAAAGACGTCGCTGTGTAGAGGCTCTGAAACAAGGGTTGCAGCAGAGAGAGAAAGTGAGTAATAATTGATGAATCTAGAGAGAGAGAGAGAGGCAGTGAATGAGGGTGGAGGCATTAGACGGACCACATATGATGATGAGGATGATCAAGTGAGAGAAAGAAGAGTGTGAATGCGGATGAGAGAGAGAGGGCTTGAAAATTAAAGATTTCTAACCTTGCCGCCTAATTATTGTTTAAGAAAAATGTTCGCAGTAACAGTATTGATGAAACGAACGGTCAAAAGCGAGAGCTTTTACTTATTTCTGGCACGAACGGTCAGGATTGAAGCTGGGAAAAAGAAGGAATTAACGGGGGATGCAGACAGGAGCCCGTTGTAACAGCTGTGAATTGGGTCCCACACAGAGGGGGCGGAACGTGCCGGGCGATTATCGCGGACACCCTACCGCAATTCCCCATATCTTACGCAATGTTGTGTCTTACAATTCCTGAACGACCAAACTCACAGCCGTTGGATGTACCCTTATGCGAATCAAAATGTCATGAACGAATTGTATAAATTATCTCGTAATAACTGCTGCATGTGATTTCTTACTCTCCAACCAATCACCGCGCCCGCAAGCAAAATATTCAAGCTTTAACGCGCCATGAAAATCCGCCCGCCGAGCTTTCACCGCGTGCCACGTGGCATATTCGGCTCGAGGGAGGAGATGGTGGGAGGTGGCGGGCGGTGAAAATGCCAGCAAAACGCGTGCATGAAGATTGGGCATCATGGACGCAACAGCCAAAGAGGTGTAAATATGGGGGAGGTGGAGCAAAAGCCAAAATTTGCTTTGGTTTGGTTCTTCAACCAAAGGGAATAAAGTTGAAAGATCCTTATTTATGATTGATTTGCTTGTTATGGGATTTAATAATTAGGGGTGCCAACAAAGAGCTAATAATGTATAAATATTTCATATTTGGCTCAATCAATCTTATTTGTTAGATTGGAACATTAAATGATGGCTTCAAAGTTAGATGAGATTATGCATAAGATTGATTGTGCATATATGTATGAGGAGAGTTGGTTGATGAGTCTTGAGAGTGGATAATATTGAAATGAGAGGGTGGGTTGAGTTTTGAGAAGGATGTGTGGGTTTGTATTTCATGAGATGTGGATTAGGAGTAGTATGGTGATGACAATGAAGTTGAAGGGTAATCTTTGGTCTAAGAAGGTTGTGATTCTTTTTGAATTCATTATCATATAGCAATTTTTATGAATAAATTTGTTTTGATTTATTGCCCCACAAAATTTTGTGCATCGAACAATCTTTTATAAGTATAGTATCTATATCATGCAAGTTACTACAATCAAATGCACTAAAATTTATTTCTGCAATATGTTTTTGTTGTGTGCTGAAATATTTGCAGCGATAGAGTGATAATTTTATGTCTTAGAATTGCATGAAGATACAACACTTACCCACATAATAGAAAAGTTGCAGGATAAGACACAATTTTTTTGTACTTAAAAAATCCTGAAGAGGAAAAAGCCACGGGCCTAGTCTATTCAAAGTAATCAATAAATGTAATTATATGTACATAAGTCCATTATATAATTGAGTTATTGTAACTACGACGACACACTTTGAAGACAATATAACAATGCATATCAAATACTATAGAAAGACATACATCGATGACGGTGTAACAACACATCCCACATACGAGGTAACGACGACTCTCGAAGATGTTGCAACAATATTACATCCCGAAGAAGGTAACTTTCTCTGAACTCTATTAGTGATAATCGGTCACAAAACCTTAGATGATGGTTGTAATTGGCCATAAAGGCCCTATTTTGGATGCTAGCTATAATAATAATAGTTGGCCAAAAAGTCATAGCTGGTTGCTACAAAGACAACAACTGTTCATAAAGATTATAGTTAGTATCTGTAATAGTGAAAGTTGGTCATAAATGTCGTAGTTGAACGTTATAATAGTAGTATTCGATCACAAAGACAATAGTTGATTTATATAAAAACAATATTTGACCATGAAGGCCATATTCGGTGGTTGCAGTAATGCTAATTGGCTACAGATCGAGGCCGTAGTTGGAAGTTATGCAAGTACTATTTGGTCACAAAGATCGTAGTTGGTTGCTGCAAAGGTATTAGTTGGACATAAAGGTTGTAGTTTGTGGCTACAATTGCGGTAGTTGGTCATAGAGACAGCAGTTGAAAGTTGTAACAGTAATCGTCATCCATAAAGGTTGTAGTTGGTTGTTACGAGGACAATAGTTGGTTATGAAATTGTTGTGGGTGGTCGCAATAGCGACATTTGGTCATATATGTCATAATTAAAAGCTGTAATAATAGTAATCGACCACAAATGTCGTAGTTAGTTATTGTAATAACGGTAATTGGTTGCAGAGACTGTATTTTGATTATGATAGTTGTATGTATTGGTTTCCAATGGTCACTGATCGATCGATGGTGGCAGATGATGATCTTTAACTGTGACCGGTGGTGGCCTACAATGGTGGTCAATAGCGGTTGGTAGCTACGGAGGCTTCTGGTTGCTCACCGGGTCTTCAATACAAATGCTAAGCACAATGGTTGCATACATAATACAATGTTTACAAACACGGGTCCTCGGTGGCCAGTGGTCAGCAATAGCAGAATGGCGGGCGGTGACTGCTGACATTGATTAATGGTGGCCAATTGGCTGTGTTCAATGGTGGTCGACTCTTACATATGATAGTGATTATTGCCAACTTTTTCCAATAAAAGTGTTAGGCACAAAGGCCATATTTGGATTATGAGATTTGCAAAAAAGGGTTCGTCAGTAATGTGGGCGGTGATGCCCTATTAATATCAATATTGGCCGATATAAGTGGTTGACGGTGGTCGATCGCTATAAAGGTCGATGGCTATTATTGGGTCATCTATATAATTGCTATGCACAATGAACAAATTCAAATTATGACGTTTGAAAATAGGTGTTGCCGGTGATCGGTGGTTAGTGACTTGGGCGGTGACAACCTGTGACGGTTCATGGCAGTCAACTGGCAATGCTCAACTGTGGTCAATGGCTACGAATATAGGAGGTTATTAAAATGTCTTCTATACATATGTTAGCCACCATGACCTTATTGAGACTATAATGTTTTCAAATAGGGTCGCCGACAATCGATATTGGGCGGCAGCAAGATTTATTGACTGATGGTGGTTGACAGCTATGTAGGCCAGCTATTATCTTCTGGTGTTCTCTCTTAATTTGACTTTAAAATTTCTCTTCCTCCCTCTCCCCTCAAGTGATGAGGGGGTCTATTTATAGCTTATAAGAGATAGACATTTTGGTCTATTATCAAATAACTTTCTCAATGAACTAATTGACGACTCATATTGATACTCTTTAATGACATCTGCATTAAGTGATCTTAGTGATACGAACAAAAATGCCATGAAGCACCGATAAATCACACAAGTATACATGTCGTTCAAGAAATTTACAGAACAAAGTCCGTGTATCGATCCCATGAGAAATAGTGAACTCCCAATGTGAAAATTTTTTATCCTAGTAGTTTTAAATACAGCCTAGAGGTATAAAATTTTGTGATTTTAAAAAGTTACTAATCATAATTTTTGAAATAATAAAACCTAAGCTATTAAAGTGAGAATTTCGATGAAGTTTTTTTATGCTAGTAAATTACTCTCCTGAATTGGTTCTATAGGAATCTAAGTTTGATTAGGTGGTTCAAATTATGGCTTACAATTAGGAGTAGATCTTTTCATAATCCCCTCTTGGGTGTTCAAGAAGGTTTGATATCAAACATTTTTAGTTCCTTAAATCAAGTGATTTGCTCAAGATTTCTTATTCCCCTACGAGATTGCACTAAACTGGGAGCAATATTGCTATTCTCCTAAGTTAATGTGCTTTAATCTAGTTGTTCCTCTAACGATTCTTCCGAAACACAACAGAATTTAACCACCAAACTGGCTAGGTTAATGCAAAGAAAAAATTGAAGGTTAAAACAGAAGCTTATAAAAAAATTAGTAAAATCACACATAAAAAACCAAACTTTACATTTTTAAATCAACAATTCAAGGGAGAAATGCAATTCTACTCACTAATCATGCTTGAGAACAATAAAATAATCATTACATCGATATGAAATATAAAAAACAAGCATTTAAAAGGATAAAATTTGATGGAATACACTAAGGAGATTGTAAACTTATCTCTATTCTTCTCCAAATGATATGTGTTGGCATCAATTTTTTGATGACACATGAGTTGGATGTCCATTGAGAATACTAAACAATACTTTTTTTTTACTAAGACACCCCACCAGACCTCCTGGTACGTGCCACGAGCACAAAATCAAGACTGATACATATTTGCTCCTACCTGGAAAAAAATCACCGTGAGGTGGTACTATCTATAACTTCAGACAAGTTTTACGTGCATTTTGATGTTGAGAGACCTAAATCCATCGATCAGTAGTCTTTTGAGGCCAAAGGTAGTCACCGAGATCTCTCACACACATTTTAGGAAAATTTAAGAGTAGACTAATTTTACCCTTGTAGGGATTCAGGACCTTCGCCGACACCAAAAATGTATTTTGAAGCTCCTAAAATGTTCACTTTTGATTTAGGGGGTCATATTCTAGTAATACACAACTTTCTATGCTTCTAGATTGATAAAGGCCTTCTTACAGTCATCCGGGGAAGAATTAGAGTTTGGAGCACCTTACCCGTGCCACGGTCCAAGAAGCCTACTGGAGATGATTTCTACAGTGAACGACTGATCAAAATAGTCAATTTCAAAGCTATGAGATTACATTTCACTCATATGAACAGGTAGAGAAAATCCCCTATTGTGCACTACTGGTGTAAATCAAGCTATATTAGCACTAGCCTCGGGCACCTAGGCACCCAGAATGTCTTCTCGGACATTTAAAACTGAGCCCATAGACGTTTGGATCAACTTTCTAGTACTTAGGTGCCAATCCTGAGTGCCCAGGCGCCCAAAATGTTCAACGCTACCTTTTCTTCCTGAGAGACAGGAAAGTAGACACCACCCTCGTTGTGCTTAGGCATTAGAGCCCTTACACCAGTCTGGGTGCCTTGGCGTGGCCTTGTTTTAAGTTGCAAGAAAACTCACTTTTTCACAGCAATTTGACTCCTGTGCACCCCCAATGAGTGGAA